TCAGCCCAGTCAAAGCTATTCGCTGCTCTGGCACCCCAATGGTGGAACAAGTTCCCCCACGACGCCAGGACAGCGGAGTCACTGACCACCTTCCGGAGACACTTGAAACCCTCCCTCTTTAAGGAATACCTGGAATAGTATAAAGTAGTCCTTCTTCCCCCCACCCCCTGGCTATCATAAGTTGAATGCACCAATTTGTTAGTCGCTCTGGATAAGAGCATCTGCTAAATGATGTAAATGTAAATGTCCTGTTGGAAGCTGAACCGTCGCCCCCAGTCTGAGGTCCTGAGCGCTCTGGAGCAGGTTTTCATGAAGGATCTCTCTGTACTCTCTGCTCTGTTCATCTTTCCCTCGATCCTGACTAGACTCCCAGTCCCTGGCGTTGAAAAAACATCCCCACAGCATGATGCTGACACCACCGTGCTTCACCGTAGGGATGGTGCCAGGTTTCCTCCAGACGTGACGCTTGGCATTCAGGCCAAAGAGTTGAATCTTGGTTTCATCAGACCAGAGAATCTTGTTTCTCATGGTCTGAGTCTTTAGGTGCCGAAGCGGGCTGTCATGTGCCTTTTACTGAGGAGTGACTTCCGTCTGACCACTCTACCATAAAGGCCTGATTGGTGGAGTGCAGCAGAGATGGTTGTCCTTCTGGAAGTTTCTCCCATCTCCACAGAGGAACTCTAGAGCTCTGTCAGAGTGACCATCGGGTTCTTGGTCACCTCCCTGACCAAGGCCCTTCTCCCCCGATTGCTCAGTTTGGCCGGGCGGCCAGCTCTAGGAAGAGTCTTGGTGGTTCCAAACTTCTTCCATTTAAGAATGATGGAGGCCACTGTGTTCTTGGGGACCTTCAATGCTGCATAAATGTTTTGGTACCCTTCCCCAGATCTGTGCCTTGACATAATCCTGTCTCGGCGCTCTATGCACAATTCCTTCGACCTCATGGCTTGGTTTTTGCTCTGACATGCACTGTCAACTGTGGGACCTTATATAGACAGGTGCATGTCCAATCAATTGAATTTACCACAGGTGGACTCCAATCAAGTTGTAGAAACATCTCAAGGATGATCAATGGAAACAGGATGCACCGGAGCTCAATTTTGAGTCTCATAGCAAAGGGTCTGAATACTTATGTAAATAAGGTATTTCTGTTTTTTATTATTAATATGTTTGATAAAATTTCAAATGTCATAATGGGGTATTGTGTGTAGATTGATGAGAAAAACAATTTCATCAATTTTAGAATAAGGCTGTAATGTAACAAAATGTGGAAAAAGTCAAGGGGTCTGAATACTTTCCGAATGCACTGTACATTACTCTTACAGATCAAGTGTAATATATTATACAAATAAAGCGAACTGGATGGAATATTGGGAAAAATGCACCAAATTATTTTTTTATTTTCAACATAGAAATGCTACTGAAACTTGTTGCAAATGACGGAGTCACCCACGATTCACCAAACTATATTTTGGAAGAGGAAGCAAAGTACTATAAGCATATATTTTCAGTCTCCTCCATCTCCACTAACCGAAGTTAATTGTAAGGATTTTTTTTCAATTAATGTAAAATTAACAGCTGTACAGAAAGACTAATGTGAAGGCCAAATTAGAGAGGAGGAACTTCTTGATGCAATTAAAGCCTTTAAGTCTGGGAAAACTCCAGGGCTGGATGGCATAACAGTTGAGGTATATCAAACCTTTTTTGACGTTCTCAGAGGACCGTTATTAGCATGTTTTAACCACTCCTATAAAAATGGTAGATTATCAGATACTCAACAAGGTGGTCTGATTTCACCATTACTGAAACAAGACCCAGGTGGTAAATATAAAGCTCCAGTCCATTAAAAAAATGAGGCCCCTTACACTTCAGTGTTGTGATGCAAATTGCATAGAATTAAAAAGGTATTGTCAGATATTATTTATTCTAAATCAGACAAGTTTTTTACATGGATGATACATTGGAGATAAGACAAGTACTGGAAACAATAGAACACTACGAAAAATCTGGGAAACCAGGCCTGGTATTCAAATCTCTTATACAATGGGTTAAAGTTATGTATAGTAACTTCAGGTGCAAAATAGTAAATAATGGCTACTTCTCAGAAAGTATTAAACTGTCTATTTATTATGGCCATCGAAATGTTAGCTATTGAAATCAGATCCAATAATAATATCAAGGGGCTAGAAATCCAGGGCTTAAAAACAAAGGTGTCATTGTACGCTGATGATTCATGTTCTTTTAAATCCACAATTTGGATCTCTCCACAGCCTCAGATGACGTAGATAATTTTTCTAACCTCTCCGGATTACAACCAAACTATGATAAATGTACTAGATTATGTATTGGATCACTCAAAAATAAAACTTTTACATTACCGTGTAGTTTACTTATGAAATGGTCTGACGGTGAAGTGGACCATACTCTGTATTCATATCCCAAAATAAATTACCTCACTACAATACATTTTAATAGGAAGTTAGCAAAAATAAGATCTTGCTACCATGGAAAGGAAATTACATGTCTATTTATGGAAAAATCACCCTGATTAACTCTTTAGTCATATCCCAGTTTACCTATTTGCTTATGGCCCTGCCTACACCTAACGACTTGTTTTTTCAACTATATGACCAAAACATATTCCATTTTATTTGGAACAGCAAGCCAGACAAAATTACACGGGCCTATTTATATAATTAATATGAATTTGGAGAGCAGAAATTATTAAATATTAAAGCATTAGACCTCTCACTAAAGGCTTCAGTCATACAAAAGCTATATTTAAATCCGAACTGGTTCTCTAGTGGATTAGTAAGAATGGCTCACCCTGTGTTCAAGAATTGCCCTTTTCCCTTTATTCAGATTACAACCGCTCACTTTCAGTTATTTGAAAATGAAATAATGTCCAAAATATCACTATTTTAACATTCAGTTTAACAGAACAAATATTATAACAACTAATATGGTAAAACTCAAATATACTAATTGATTAAAGAACGGTATAATCTTTGTAAATGATATCACTAGGACTGGTGGAGTTGTCACACATACAGCTAACAAAAATATATGGAAATGTCTGCTCTATCCAAAATTACAACCAACTAATTGGAGCATTACCGCAAAAATGGAAGAGGTAAGTGGAAAGGGGTGAAAGTAACAAACTTGTCTGTCGGCCATGCATTAAAGACCAAAATTGGTTAAAGAAAATTGTGATAAATGAAAAAGTATACCAGTTTCATTTAAGGACCAAAACATTTACAGCTGTGCCATACAGATTGCAAAATAGTTTAAGAGATTTTTGATGTACAAATTCCGTTGGCACATGGTTTATGAACTGATATACAAAACGACGCCGAATTCAAAACTTAGATTTGTTCAATTTAAAATAATATAAAAATTCTTGCAACCAATAGAATGTTATATATAAGGGGGATACAACTATTCCAGCTCTGCAGATTTTGCTGCGAAGAGACAGAATCATTACATCATTTGTTTTGGTACTGTCCATATGTAGCTTGTTTTTGGTTGCAGGTTCAGGAATGGCTGACGAATTGCAACATTTACCTGAAGCTAACTCTATAAATAGCACTGATGAGTGATTTGAAAAGTCAGACAATCGATCAATAATATAATACTCTTAGCAAAAATGTTTCTTTAATTTATAATCTGTAGAGACTATGAGAATAGAAATGTTCAGAAATTTTGTGAAACATCACAGCACATTTGAAAAATATATGGCAAATAGAAATCAAAACTGGATGGTCTTCAGAGATCGATGGGAGGGGTTGAGGGGAGCTGAAGGATGGGACTAAAAACAAACAAAAGATAACTAATGTAAAATATACTGTGTCAGTAAAATGTAAATAGTATGTATAAGCTGGAAGTAGAAGCCTAAGTGTTGTTATCCATTAGTTCACTCCAATTAGGGGAGGGGTGGTAGGGTTTGGGGAAAATAATAAATGAAAAAGAAAAGTTCGGTTCTCCCATTTATTTTAAATTTTTTTAACAGACATGTACACAAACTAATTGGTCATGTGTGATGAGTAAGGACAATGTACAAAATCATTGGGCAGAGGTTGTGTTCCTCTGGAGTAATAGTGTGCTTCTTCTACAGTAAAATAGTCAAATGTTTATAATCCCTCACACAGAGGAAGAGAGCAGTGGAGGACATCTGCACCTCCTCCCAGCCTGGAATGGCTGCCATTTCTCTGCCTTTTTTGGTCTGGAGCCACAGCTCCGTCCAGTAATGATGATAATAGCAGACCATAAGTTAAATAAAACATATCACAGTACACGCAGGGCAGTAGGAAGGATGGTAAGGTTTATTTTGCTGAGGGGAGATGCTGTAACAAGGCTGAGAAAAAATACTAATTCTCCCAAACACAAAGTGCAAAACAAATATAACAATTTCACACAAAAAAGGCCATGTCCTCGAAACAAACTGAAGAGAGAAACTGGGTAGTAATGGGAGATTATTTTAACCATCAATGGGAAATAAGGTACTATTATTTCAATCCTGAATGATGCAAGAAGATATCGGTGGCATGATAAGAGTGATTGTACATGACAGACTAAGAGCGAACCTCTCAGACAGCTCTCCACAGCCCTGTGTAGAGACCCTCAGCAATCAGCTGCCTATTAACAAAATCCCATTTAGCTTTCTCTTCCCTCCCTCTGTGAGAGTGTTTGAGCATGTGTGTGTGTGTGTGTGTATATGCACGCGTTCATCCAAGTCTACGGAAGACATTGGAAAGAGACTAAAACAGCAGCAATTTCTCAATCACGTCTCTCTCGAAGAGGAAGTCAGCTGTCAACTGAAATGTAGAGTTTTAGCTGTGCAGGGAAGAGGAAGGGGAAAATCCAGTAAATCAGTCTGTGAGCAGAGGTTTTCCACCCGGGTCAGGTTAGGTCCCAAGTCATCAGCACTGCATTTAGACCTTTTGGAGCTCCCCTGACATAGCCTCCTAGACCAACAGTCTCTACAACCTCCAGCAGTCAGTCCTCTACACCCGGGGTTTGGTGGCAAAGGTGAGGTAGCCTGTGTGCCCTGCCATCTCCCTGGGGGGCGTGGTTGTCTTACAGAGAACAGAGGTGTTGCTAGGGACTGGGGTGTCGGTGGGGGTCTCCAGGGGCCGGTCAGGACCAAAGTCTGGTAGGGGGAGCGTGATGGTGCGTACGTCATGCACCTTCAGCAGAACCTCCAGAGTGCTGATCTCCTCGAAACCCTCATCAGCCAGTGCCGCACACGTCTTCTGCACCTGCTCAATACATGGGGAGAAGGAGCACAAACGTCCCCCTGCAGAGAGAGAGAGTGGATGAGACAGGGGGATTACAGGATGGCGACAGAGGGTAAATAAGGGTAGAAAAAGCCAACAAGAATTAGTCAATTATTCTGTTTGAATCTCACATGCTTTGCTTCTAGGCAATTTCTATGTAAACATCCAGAGTTTGGTATATTCATCCCTAATGGAGATTTTGGAGAATCCTCTAGCTACGTTTAAGAGATTCAGAAAACAGGTTTAGAGACCAGAAACAGACTCGGCTCCTGACTTGGATTCCAATGCTGGGATAACATTTTTAATGAGATTTACAAAGCCATTTATTAATTTTTTACATCCATCCACAACAATGTAATCTCGTTTAACTCACAACTAAAGTCTTGCATAATTGGTCAGCTGTTCGATTAAGTTCTGGGTCCACACGCGTTAAGAGAAGAGAAGAGGTAAAGATGCTAGAATGAGGAGCAGAATCGTAACGAGGAGCTCCACCCTCTCTCTGCAAGTTATGGGCCAGCCTATGGGCCAAATGCCCCCCCCCCTTCCAACATTATAAAGATGTTATACACCTGTGAAAATCGGGCCTTGTCCAAATAACCAGTGACAAAAAACCCAAGCACCGTGCAATATGTAACTTTTTGGGCGACCTGACCTAATTCACATTCAAATATGATATATATATATATATGATATATATATATATGATATATATATATATATATATATATATATATATATATATATATATATATATGCCATTCTCATTGAAAGCAAGTCTATGTTGACATATTTCTATGCTTCCCGTGCTTACGTTTTTGCGGCTTTTACTTTCGGTTTTGTACACCAGCTTCAAACAGCTGAAAATACAATATTTTTGGTTATGGAAAATATATTTCACAGCGGTTTAGATGGTACAATGATTCTCTACACTGTACTTGCTTATTTTGTCACAAACTGAAATTAGGCGAACTATTACAATTTTTGCAACCAGGAAATGGCGGCGCGATTTCTGCGTAGTGCATCTTTAAATAGGCACTTACTATAATATTTTTTATTTATTTAACCTCTTTAGATGGGAAAGCGTGTTTATGGAATTGAACATATGCTCTTATGACAGAATGTTAAAATTAGATGAAATCAAACAATTTATTTTTATTTATTTTTTACCAAGTTACACTTCTCAAAAGGCACCGAATTGATGGAACGACCCATTTATGTTTACGTAGTCTGCCCACAAGAGTTTAACGCGATATTGACCGCACCATAAACATTTCATTGTTCTTGTGTGTTATGTTGAACACAGAAGCAAGTCAACCATTTTAAAATCCAGTATTAAGTAACAGAAGAACACATGGCAATTTTTCACCGGTTGCTCGAGAGGCATTGTAATTGCTATGGTGATCACCCTTGTTGACCAGTGGAAATGTTGATTGAGAGAAGCAGAAGAGGTGGAGCTAGTGGTGATCAGGCTGTTGACAACACTGATCCAGGGAGTGTGTGAAAGCTATTGTTCAAACTATATCTGGGGCCAGACAGCCGTGCATATTGACCAAGGCAGAGGTCAGTAACACAAACACGCTTGGGCCAATTGTCTCCTCAGCTTCAAATAGGGACGTTGTGTGTGTGTGCTGTGTTTCCAGGCCCAGGCCTAATCAGTTTAACAGAGGGTTGTGTAAGGACAGATGGATTAAAGGGGTTGGAGCAGGACACGTGCAGTGGGAGAGAGAGGGACAGGTCTGCCACTCATGAGTGTAGTTTACCAGGATCACAGCAGATCCACTTAACCCAGGATCACCACCTCCTCCTCTCTGGCCAAAACCTGGACGTGCAACACTCAGGCTCCAGGGAGAAGAATGTGTGTGTGTGTTTTATGGTGACAAGGAATCAGTGACAGGACCAGTGTTGAACTTCACAGAACTGAAAGAGCCGAGGCAGTGTGTACGAATACATGAGTAGAATCACAAACACACAAGACTATGCATGCGTTTCCACTGGGATAATGTATCCAGAGAAACAGCCTACACACATCATTAACTAACATCCAAGAATGTGTGCAAACGGCAAAGGATCTCCCTCTACCTCTGCTAAATACAAGCCCCACAGCAGGGGATGAGAGCAGCTTGCCAAGATATCTCCATTAACCTGGAGAGTGAGTTAAGCATGCAGCCTAAATCACACGCCTATTACAGAAGCCCAGGTCTCACTGCGAGAAGACTTGATTGTAGATTTAACAGTGTAGGAACAAAGTGAGGTAGCTTTTAGCCTTACAAGTCCAACAAGCAACACAAGCAGACAGTTACTAGTAAGTGCCAAGCACACATACTTTTCTTCTACTTTGGAGTGTGTGTGTGTGTAAGATATTAGACGAGCCCTTACAAAAGTCAATGTCTAGTCTTGGAAATGTGGGATCTCTCAGATAGCGGACGTTCCATTGACAAATAATGGCAGCCTTTCTCTCGCTAGGCAGCTCTAAACACAGCCCCCATGTCTCCTGGCAACCAGGAGAGGGGGGGGGCAGGGCAGTCCGTGCCAGGATACAGGGTCTTCGGAGCACAGCTTCTCTAAATAAAAGGGGCAGGCAACTGGCCAATTTTTTTAAAGAATGAGTGAATTTTTTTTTTTAAATAAAGCCCTTCTCCATTGCCCCATGCTCCACATTCTGCCCCTTACCCTGGTTCTCAGATAGCATGACCAAATCTGAAGCAGGGAAAGGAAAACATATGGAATGCACTTTTATTATTAGTGGTTACACAAGCACTGCGCAGGAGCATGTGAAGCTCACAGGGGCGGTATAATTGACTGGTGAACTGCTGGATGCCCTCAGCTGAAGCACAGAGACACAGCTCCATAGTGTTCAGTCCTCTAGAGGAGTGAACGAGAGAGAGTGAACGAGAGAGAGTGAACGAGAGAGAGTGAACGAGAGAGAGAGTGAACGAGAGAGAGAGTGAACGAGAGAGAGAGTGAACGAGAGAGAGAGTGAACGAGAGAGAGAGAAAGATGGGGACTCCAGTCTCTATGACTGTAAAATAGGGAAATAAATTGTGCCTTGCCTAAAGGAGACTGATGCAACCTCTCCCTACAGCACATAACCCTGTATGGTCATGGGACTGATTCTATATCCAGATATCTGGCTGTGCGTGTAAGGGGAAGTCGGATAGCTAAAGAGAAATATGCAGACGTGAAACCATAAAAGGGAGGACTGAAACATCTACTGGGGGAGAGAATGTACGAAAGGGTGCTGGAGTCTCTTTGCATTGTTGCTAGTCCATGTCCCACATTCCATTTCTTATTGAGGCTTCCGTTTAATAAGATTATCGGTTTATGCGCCTCAGGATTATAAAAATCAACTCCATCTTTTACAAAGCGGTTTATAAACTAGTGATCCAAAGTAAGTAACTGTACTAGGCTAGGGTTATGTGAATAATAGCCCTGTGATGTATTCTACTCATGTCCCACCTTTAGCCCACGAACACACACACACACACACACACGCTCGCACAGAGACTGACCACCCAACTAAGCCACCAACTTGCCCAGGCTTGCCCCCACTGCACCATAGGCCCTGGTCTCCACGGAGAACACTGCATGCTCTTTAACCAGGTCACTTTATTCTGCGTCCGTGTGACAAGGAAGAAACAAACAGGGAGGAACACACGCGAGCTAAGGACACATTTAATGAGCGCTCTGCTGACCCAGATCAATATCCAATATGGAAGAGTGCACTGCACTACACAGCCAGGGAACAAAGGCTTGCTGGGATTTCAGAGTGGACAGGCCAATGTCATGTTATTGGGACCAAGTTTTTGGCTGTTTCTCCACACTCGCACACACACCGGTGTCTTACCCTGCCTCTTCATGGCGTTCTTGGCATGTTGGACGGCCTCCCAGGGAGAGGGGATGTCCAGGAAGACAGCGTCTGCCACCCCCGTCACTCCAAAGCCCTCCTTGCAGACATCCTGGTTACGGACGGTGACCAGGTGGCCTACGCGGTGCTCCCTGAACTCCTCCTCCGCCTTCTCAGCACGCTGCTGGTGGAACTCCACAGTGTGCAGGTGGCCCGTGGGCGCGATGGTGCGCAGGATGGCGTGGGACAAAGACCCGCTGCCCGTACCTACAACCACAACAAAACAAACAGGGAATGGGTTTAGAGAGGGTATGCGACTAGCAGCAGTGTCATAGATGGCTGGCGTGTTCACAATGGGAAAGATGTTGAAAACAGATCAATACCATTTATGTCATCATATTCAATCAACGTGTCTGATGTACAGTACATGTTACATGTTAGAGTTTGTGTAGTTGTGCATGCGCAAGCATCAAAATAGTATTTAAATCTTGGACTGTACATCATACTATATGACCACAACAATACTTGCTGTTGTCTCATCTCGTCTGAAGCGATCATGTGACACGCGGTTAGGGCAGGGGGACATGGCGATGGGCTACAGTGCCCCTTCCTCCTCCCCCTCCTCACATTGCATCACTGCTGCTTTTGTTCTCATGGCAACAATGGGGGCAATGTTTACCCCACAGCGGCACATTGACTTGCTAAACGCAATGCCGTTTGACCGACGGGATGACTGACGTCAGAGCCAGTGGCACAGACAAGTGTCCGGTAACTACTTACTGCATGTAATCTGATGCTTTGTGGGTAGTGTTGCTGTGTGTATGGTGCAATCATAGTGGTGTTACTGCATGGTAAGCCATTTCCCAGGCTTTGTAGTTTACTCCTGAATTTAATTCACAACTCTGCTCCAACCCTGCTCAAGTGTGTGTAATGTTCTACTATGAAAATACTTAAGCACTAAGGGGATAGCTTCAAATCGCAAGTATCCAAAACATCCAGTCACCTTCCATGGTAATACCAAGGAGGAACATTCCTCACAGAGTACACGTGAAGGCCTATTTGTTCTGCCAATTTTAAGCATGTAGTGCACTGAGGATACACTATTTACATCTTCCACTGTAAAAAAATTAAATGTATATATACACACTACCGTTCATAAGTTTGGGGTCACTTAGAAATGTCCTTGTTTTCAAAAGAAAAGCAATTTTTTTGTCCATTAAAATAACCTCAAATTGATCCGAAATACATTGTAGACATTGTTAATGTTGTAAATGGCTATTGTAGCTGGAAACTGCTGATTTTTAATGGAATATCTACATGGGCCCATTATCAGCAACCATCAGTCTTGTGTTCCAATGGCACGTTGTGTTTGCTAATCCAAGTTCATAATTTTAAAAGGCTAATTGATCATTAGAAAACCCTTTTGCAATTATGTTAGCACAGCTGAAAACTCTTGTGCTGATTAAAGAAGCAATAAAACTGGCCTTCTTGAGACTAGTTGAGCATCTGGAGCATCAGCAATTGTGGGTTCGATTACAGGCTCAAAATGGCCAGAAACAAATAACTTTATTCTGAAACTTGTCAGTCTATTCTTGTTCTGAGAAATTAAGGCTATTCCATGCGAGAAATTGCCAAGAAACTGAAGATCTCATACAACGCTGTGTACTACTCCCTTCACAGAACAGCGCAAACTGACTCTAACCAGAATAGAAAGAGGAGTGGGAGGCCCTGGTGCACAACTGAGCAAGAGGACAAATACATTAGAGTGTCTAGTTTGAGAAACAGACACCTCACAGGTCCTCAACTGGCAGCTTCATTAAATAGTACCCGCAAAACACCAGTCTCAACGTCAACAGTGAAGAGGCGACTCCGGGATGCTGACCTTCTAGGCACAGATGCAAAGAAAAAGTCCAGTGTCTGTGTTCTTTTGCCCATCTTTTATTTTTATTGGCCAGTCTGAGATATGGCTTTTTCTTTGCAACTCTGCCTAGAAGGTCAGCATCCCGGAGTCACCTCTTCATTGTTGACGTTGAGACTGGTGTTTCAGAAGAAAGTTATTTGTTTCTGGCCATTTTGAGCCTGTAATCGAACCCACAATTGCTGATGCTCCAGATACTCAACTAGTCTAAAGAAGGCCAGTTTTATTGCTTCTTTAATCAGCACAGTTTTCAGCTGTGCTAACATAATTGCAAAAGGGGTTTCTAATTATCAATTAGCCTTTTAAAACTATAAAAACTTGGATTAGCAAACAACACGCCATTGGAACACAGGACTGATTGTTGCTGATAATGGGCCTCTGTACGCCTATGCAGATATTCCATTTGTAAAAATAAATTAAAAAAGCAGTTTCCAGCTACAACAGCCATATGCAACTTTACAATGTCTACACTGTATTTCTGATCAATTTGATGTTATTTTAAAAAAATGGACCAAAAATAAAGTGCATTTCTTTCAAAAACATGGACATTTCTACGTGATCCCAAACTTTTGAACAGTAGTGTATGTGAGATATACACAGTGAGGGAAAAAAGTATTTGATCCCCTGCTGATTTTGTACGTTTGCCCACTGACAAAGAAATGATCAGTCTATAATTTTTATGGTAGGTTTATTTGAACAGTGAGAGACAGAATAACAACAAATACATCCAGAAAAACGCATGTCAAAAATGTTATAAATTTATTTGCATTTTAATGAGGGAAATAAGTATTTGATCCCCTCTCAATCAGAAAGATTTCTGGCTCCCAGGTGTCTTTTATACAGGTAACAAGCTGAGATTAGGAGCACACTCTTAAAGGGAGTGCTCCTAATCTCAGCTTGTTATTTGTATAAAAGACACCTGTCCACAGAAGCAATCAATCCGATTCCAAACTCTCCACCATGGCCAAGACCAAAGAGCTCTCCAAGGATGTCAGGGACAAGATTGTAGACCTACACAAGGCTGGAATGGGTTACAAGACCATCGCCAAGCAGCTTGGTGAGAAGGTGACAACAGTTGGTGCGATTATTCGCAAATGGAAGAAACACAAAAGAACTGTCAATCTCCCTCGGCCTGGGGCTCCATGCAAGATCTCACCTTGTGGAGTTGCAATGATCATGAGAACGGTGAGGAATCAGCCCAGAAATAAACGGGAGGATCTTGTCAATTATCTCAAGGCAGCTGGGACCATAGTCACCAAGAAAACAATTGGTAACACACTACACCGTGAAAGACTGAAATCCTGCAGAGCACGCAAGGTCCCCCTGCTCAAGAAAGCACATATACATGCCCGTCTGAAGTTTGCCAATGAATATCTGAATGATTCAGAGGAGAACTGGGTGAAAGTGTTGTGGTCAGATGAGACCATAAATGGAGCTCTTTGGCATCAACTCAACGTCTTTGGAGGAGGAGGAATGCTGCCTATGACCCCAAAAACACCATCCCCACCGTCAAACATGGAGCTGGAAACATTATGCTTTGGGGGTGTTTTTCTGCTAAGGGGACAGGACAACTTCACCGCATCAAAGGGACGATGGATGGGGCCATGTACCGTCAAATCTTGGGTGAGAACCTCCTTCCCTCAGCCAGGGCATTGAAAATGGGTATTCCAGCATGACATTGACCCAAAACACATGGCCAAGGCAGCAAAGGAGTGGCTCAAGAAGAAGCACATTAAGGTCCTGGAGTGGCCTAGCCAGTCTCCAGACCTTAATCCCATAGAAAATCTGTGGAGGGAGCTGAAGGTTCGAGTTGCCAAACGTCAGCCTCGAAACCTTAATGACTTGGAGAAGATCTGCAAAGAGAAGTGGGACAAAATCCCTCCTGCGATGTGTTCAAACCTGGTGGCCAACTACAAGAAACGTCTGACCTCTGTGATAGTACTTGGTGGCAAAACCCTTGTTGGCTAAGTCATGTTTTGCAGAGGGGTCAAATACTTATTTCCCTCATTAAAATGCAAATCAATTAATAACATTTTTGACATGCGTTTTTTTCTGGAATTTTTTGTTGTTATTCTGTCTCTCACTGTTCAAATAAACCTACCATTAAAATTATAGACTGATCATTTCTTTGTCAATGGGCAAACGTACAAAATCAGCAGGGGATCAAATTCTTTTTCCCCCTCACTGTATACACACACACATATACAGCTCTGGAGAAAATTAAGAGACCACTGCAAAATTATCAGTTTCTCTGGATTTCCTATTTATAGGTATGTGTTTGGGTAAAATTAACATTATTTTCTCCCAAATTCCAAATAAAAGTATTGCCATTTAGAGCATTTATTTGCAGAAAATGACAACTGGTCAAAATAACTAAAAATACCTCGAATAATGCAAAGAAAATAAGTTCATGTCCATTTTTAAACAACACAATACTAAATGTTTTAACACAGCTTTCATACGTCTTGGCATGCTCTCCACCAGTCTTTCACATTGATGTTGGGTGACTTTATGATACTCTTAGCAACAAATCTTCCTCTTGATCACATTCCAGAAGTTTTCAATGGGGTTCAGGTCTGGAGATTGGGCTGGCCATGACAGGGTCTTGATCTGGTGGACCTCCATCCCCACCTTGATTGACCTGGCTGTGTGGCATGGCGCATTGTCCTGCTGGAAAAACCAATCCTCAGAGTTGGGGAACAATGTCAGAGCAAAAGGAAGCAAGTTCTCTTCCAGGACAACCTTGTACGTGGCTTGATTAATGTGTCCTTCACAAAGACACATCTGCCCCATTCCAGCCTTGCTGAAGCACCCCCAGATCACCGATCCTCCACCAATTTTCACAGTGGGTGCGAGACACTGTGGCTTGTAGGCCTCTCCAGGTCTCCGTCTAACCACTAGACGACCAGGTGTTGGGCAAAGCTGAAAATTGGACTCATCAGAGAAAATGACCTTACTCCAGTCCTCTACTGTCCAAGTATTTTGCAAACCTCAGCCTGGCTCTTCTTTGCTTCTCATTGATGAAGGGCTTTTTTTCTAGCTTTGCATGACTTCAGCCCTGCCCCTAGGAGCCTGTTTTGAACCGTCCTCGCCGTGCACTTCACCCCAGCTGCTGTTTGCCATTCTTTTTGTAGGTCACTTGATGTCATCCTACGGTTGTTGAGCGACATTCGAATGAGTTGGCTGTCATCCCGGTCAGTAGAATCTCGTTTTCGCCCTCTGCCGGTCTGTAGCTTTGTTGTCCCCAATGACATTTTAAGGACGGAAGCAACCTGACGCTCACTGTATCCCTCTGCCAGTAAAGCCAGAATTGACCCCTTCTTTTCCTCACTCAAAACATTCCTTTTCAACTCTTTTGGCATGGTCCATAGTTATTTTTTGATTAATTTACTTTTGAGGTACTATTAGCACTGTTTTTGCCATCCAGCAAGAGGATAGTGATGACCACAGCAGTGGTTTTTATACTTCTCCTCGTTAAATAAGATTTGGTTCAGGTGATCACCTAATCAGTACCTAATTCAGTAGAATGAGGTGTGCCTGTGTTGGAATTCAACAGACACTGGAATGGAATGGATGTCATACATGTAGAGATGCTGATTTAAGAAAGATTCGCAGTGGTCTCTTAATTTTTTAGCTGTATGTATGTATGTATGCATGTATGTATGTATGTACGTACAGTGGGGAGAACAAGTATTTGATACACTGCCGACTTTGCAGGTTTTCCTACTTACAAAGCATGTAGAGGTCTGTGATTTTTATCATAGATACACTTCAAATGTGAGAGACGGAATCTAAAACAAAAATCCAGAAAATCACATTGTATGATTTTTAAGTAATTCATTTGCATTTTATTGCATGACATAAGTATTTGATACATCAGAAAAGCAGAACTTAATATTTGGTACAGAAACCTTTGTTTGCAATTACAGAGATCATACGTTTCCTGTAGGTCTTGACCAGGTTTGCACACACTGCAGCAGGGATTTTGGCCCACTCCTCCATACAGACCTTCTCCAGATCCTTCAGGTTCCGGGGCTGTCGCTGGGCAATACGGACTTTCAGCTCCCTCCAAAGATTTTCTATTGGGTTCAGGTCTGGAGACTGGCTAGGCCACTCCAGGACCTTGAGATGCTTCTTACGGAGCCATTCCTTAGTTGCCCTGGCTGTGTGTTTCGGGTCGTTGTCATGCTGGAAGACCCAGCCACGACCCATCTTCAATGCTCTTACTGAGGGAAGGAGGTTGTTGGCCAAGATCTCGCGATACATGGCCCCATCCATCCTCCCCTCAATACGGTGCAGTCGTCCTGTCCCCTTTGCAGAAAAGCATCCCCAAAGAATGATGTTTCCACCTCCATGCTTCACAGTTGGGATGGTGTTCTTGGGGTTGTACTCATCCTTCTTCTTCCTCCAAACACGGCGAGTGGAGTTTAGACCAAAAAGCTATATTTTTGTCTCATCAGACCACATGACCTTCTCCCATTCCTCCTCTGGATCATCCAGATGGTCATTGGCAAACTTCAGACGGGGCTGGACATGCGCTGGCTTGAGCAGGGGAACTTGCGTGCGCTGCAGGATTTTAATCCATGATGGCTTAGTGTGTTACTAATGGTTCTCTTTGAGACTGTGGTCCCAGCTCTCTTTAGGTAATTGACCAGGTCCTGCCGTGTAGTTCTGGGCTGATCCCTCACCTTCCTCATGATCATTGATGCCCCACGAGGTGAGATCTTGCATGTAGCCCCAGACCAAGGGTGATTGACCGTCATCTTGAACTTCTTCCATTTTCTAATAATTGCGGCAACAGTTGTTGCCTTCTCACCAAGCTGCTTGCCTATTGTCCTGTAGCCCATCCCAGCCTTGTGCAGGTCTACAATTTTATCCCTGATGTCCTTACACAGCTCTCTGGTCTTGGCCATTGTGGAGAGGTTGGAGTTTGTTTGATTGAGTGTGTGGACAGGTGTCTTTCATACAGGTAACAAGTTCAAACAGGTGCAGTTAATACAGGTAATGAGTGGAGGACAGGAGGGCTTCTTAAAGAAAAACTAACAGGTCTGTGAGAGCCGGAATTCTTACTGGTTGGTAGGTGATCAAATACTTATGTCATGCAATAAAATGCAAATGAATTACTTAAAAATCATACAATGTGGTTTTCTGGATTTTTGTTTTAGATTCCGTCTCTCACAGTTGAAGTGTACCTATGATAAAAATTACAGACCTGGAATGCATTTCAATGAACAGGTGTGCCTTCTTAAAAGTTAATTTTTGGAATTGATTTCCTTCTTAATGCATTTGGTCAGTCAATCCAGAAAATTTAAAGAACTTTGAACGTTTCTTCAGGTGCAGTCACAAAAACCATCAAACGCTATTATGAAACTGGCTCTCATGAGGACTGCCACAAGAAACGAAGACCCAGAGTTACCTATGCTGCAGAGGATAAGGTCATTAGTGTTACCAGCCTCAGAATTGCAGCTCAAATAAATGCTTCAGAGTTCAAGTAACAGAAACATCTCAACATCAACTGTTCAGAGTAGACTGCGTGAATCAGGCCTTCATGGTCTAATTGCTGCAAAGAAACCATTACTAAAGGTCACCAATAAGAAGAAGACGCTTGCTTGGTCCAAGAAACACAAGCAATGGACATTAGACCGGTGGAAATCTGTCCTTTGGGCTGATGAGTCCAAATTTGAGATTTTTGGTTCCAACCGCCATGTCTTTGTGAGACGCAGAGTAGGTGAACGGATGATCTCCGCATGTGTGGTTACCACCGTGAAGCATGGAGGAGGAGGTGTGATGGTGCTTTGCTGGTGACACTGTCTGTAATTTATTTAGAATTCAAGGCACACTTAACCAGCATGGCTACCACAGCATTCTGCAGCGATACGCCATCCCATCTGGTTTGCACTTAGTGGGACTATCATTTGTTTTTCAACTGGACAATGACCCAAAACACACCTCCAGGCTGTGTAAGCTATTTGACCAAGGAGAGTGATGGAGTGCTGCACAGATGACCTGGCCTCCACAATCACCCGACCTCAACCCAATTGAGATGGTTTGGGATGAGTTGGACTGTAGAGTGAAGGAAAAGCAGCCAACAAGTGCTCAGCATATGTGGGAATTCCTTCAAGACGGTTGGAAAATAATTCCTCATGAAGCTGGTTGCGAGAATGACAAGAGTGTGCAAAACTGTCATCAAGGCAAAGGGTGGCTACTTTGAAGAGTCTAAAATATAAAATATATTTTGATTTGTTTAACACTTTTTTGGTTACTACATGATTCCATATACACTGCTCAAAAAAATAAAGGGAACACTTAAACAACACAATGTAACTCCAAGTCAATCACACTTCTGTGAAATCAAACTGTCCACTTAGGAAGCAACACTGATTGACAATACATTTCACATGCTGTTGTGCAAATGGAATAGACAACAGGTGGAAATTATAGGCAATTAGCAAGACACCCCCAATAAAGGAGTGGTTCTGCAGGTGGTGACCACAGACCACATCTCAGTTCCTATGCTTCCTGGCTGATGTTTTGGTCACTTTTGAATGCTGGCGGTGCTTTCACTCTAGTGGTAGCATGAGATGGAGTCTACAACCCACACAAGTGGCTCAGGTAGTGCAGCTCATCCAGGATGGCACATCAATGCGAGCTGTGGCAAGAAGGTTTGCTGTGTCTGTCAGCGTAGTGTCCAGAGCATGGAGGCGCTACCAGGAGACAGACCAGTACATCAGGAGACGTGGAGGAGGCCGTAGGAGGGCAACAACCCAGCAGCAGGACCGCTACCTCCGCCTTTGTGCAAGGAGGAGCAGGAGGAGCACTGCCAGAGCCCTGCAAAATGACCTCCAGCAGGCCACAAATGTGCATGTGTCTGCTCAAACGGTCAGAAACAGACTCCATGAGGGTGGTATGAGGGCCCGACGTCCACAGGTGGGGGTTGTGCTTACAGCCCAACACCGTGCAGCACGTTTGGCATTTGCCAGAGATCACCAAGATTGGCAAATTCGCCACTGGCGCCCTGTGCTCTTCACAGATGAAAGCAGGTTCACACTGAGCACATGTGACAGACGTGACAGAGTCTGGAGACGCCGTGGAGAACGTTCTGCTGCCTGCAACATCCTCCAGCATGACCGGTTTGGCGGTGGGTCAGTCATGGTGTGGGGTGGCATTTCTTTGGGGGGCCGCCCAGCCCTCCATGTGCTCGCTAGAGGTAGCCTGACTGCCATTAGGTACCGAGATGAGATCCTCAGACCCCTTGTGAGACCATATGCTGGTGCGGTTGGCCCTGGGTTCCTCCTAATGCAAGACAATGCTAGACCTCATGTGGCTGGAGTGTGTCAGCAGTTCCTGCAAGAGGAAGGCATTGATGCTATGGACTGGCCCGCCCGTTCCCCAGACCTGAATCCAATTGAGCACATCTGGGACATCATGTCTCGCTCCATCCACCAACGCCACGTTACACCACAGACTGTCCAGGAGTTGGCGGATGCTTTAGTCCAGGTCTGGGAGGAGATCCCTCAGGAGACCATCCGCCACCTCATCAGGAGCATGCCCAGGCGTTGTAGGGAGGTCATACAGGCACGTGGAGGCCACACACACACACACACACTACTGAGCCTCATTTTGACTTGTTTTAAGGACATTACATCAAAGTTGGATCAGCCTGTAGTGTGGTTTTCCACTTTAATTTTGAGTGTGACTCCAAATCCAGACCTCCATGGGTTGATAAATTTGATTTCCATTGATAATTTGTGTGATTTTGTTGTCAGCACATTCAACTATGTAAAGAAAAAAGTATTTAATAAGATTATTTCATTCATTCAGATCTAGGATGTGTTATTTTAGTGTTCCCTTTATTTTTTTGAGCAATGTATGTTATTTCATCGTTTTGATGTCTTCAGTATTATTCTACAATGTAGAAAATAGTAAAAATAAAGAAAAACCCTTGAATGAGTAGGAGTGTCCAAACCTTTGACTGTTACTGTTTATATAAAAAATATATCCTGTAGTTACAAGAGCATATTCAGAATCAGAGAGCAACCTAGTTCATTTAATAAGCCTTCCATGTGAGAGACAGAGACAATGATGGAATGAAAGAGCGAGGGAAAGAGCACCATCTGTGAATACAGTTTCCTGGTGAGTTTCAACTTGACTTTCAAAAGACATTGAACATTTCTGCTGCCTGAGGATAATGAGCTGCAGGACAAGAGACCAAAGTATCTTCCCATCTCACACACTGCCCATCAGTACTGGGAACTGGCACTCATCCCATGCCCACCACGAGGGTGCCACCTGATTGGGTAAGAAGAAGGCCGCGGTTGGCATCTTCATCAGAGGCTCTGAGCAGTGAGCACCCATTAGCTTTCCCATTAGGCCAGCGTTGATGAAAACAGCCCTGACCAGAGACTCCTATCAAGAGTTCTAATCTAATCCTGGCAGAAGGATGGAGCCTGGTCAGCAGGCAGCAAAGAGGGATGAAATTAAACAACTACATGAGAAGCAGCAGAACATGATAACAGGAGACCTTGTGCTAGGGCTAGCCTGGTGAACTTCAGCGCAATCTAGCTGCAAGGTGACTCCTCTAGTGACTGTGAATTCCCCCTACAACACATAGTCACTTCTTATCACTGCCTGTTTACATTGCTCATTCACAAAGTCACTCAAGACACAAAATATACAGTGCTATGAAAAAGTATTTGCCCCCTTTCTAATTTTCTCTACTTTTGCATATTTGTGATACTGAATGTTATCAGATCTTCAACCAAAACCTAATATTAGATAAAGGGAACATAAGTGAACAAATAACAACAATTACATATTTATTTCATAAACAATGTTATGCAACACCCAATTCCCCTGTGTGAAAAAGTAATTGCCCACTTACACTCAATAACTGGTTGTGCCACCTTTAGCTGCAATGACTCCAACCAAATGACTCCAACCAGTGTTTGGTTTTCGCCAGGCATAATGGGACCCATCTCGTCCAAAAAGTTGACTCAAGTTTGCCAAAAAGCACCTGGATGATCATCAAGACTCTTGGAAGAACGTTCTATGGACAGATGATTAAAAAGTATAACTTTTTGGACGACATGGTTCCAGTAATGCCTGGCGAAAACCAATTCCTCAGTAAGAACATCATACCAAAGGTCAAGCATGGTGGTGGTGGTGTGATGGTTTGGGGATGCTTTGCTGCCTCAGGACCTGGACGACTTGCCTTAATAGAAGGAACCATGAATTCTGCTCTGTATCAGAGAATTCTACAGGAGAATGTCAGACCATCCGTCTGTGAACTGAAGCTGAAGCGTAGCTGGGTCATGCAGCAAGACAATGATCCAAAACACACAATCAAGTCTACATGAAAATTGCTAAAAAGCAACAAATTGGAAGTTTTGGAATGGCCTAGTCAAAGTCCAGACCTAATCCCAATTGAGATGTTGTGGCAGGACTTGAAACGAGCAGTTCATGCTTGAAAACCCACACGTCACTGAGTTAAAGCAGTTCTGCATGGAAGAGTGGTTCAAAATTCCTCCACAGCGACGTGACAGACTGATCAACAACTACAGGAAGCATTTGGTTGGAGTCATTGCAGCTAAAGGTGGCACAACCAGTTATTGAGTGTAAGGGGGCAATTACTTTTTCACACAGGGGAATTGGGTTTTGCATAACTTTGTTTATGAAATAAATATGTAATTGTTGTGTTATTTGTTCACTTATGTTCCCTTTTTCTAATATTAGGTTTTGGTTGAAGATCTGATTACATTCAGTATCACAAATATGCAAAAGTAGAGAAAATTAGAAAGGGGGCAAATACTTTTTCATAGAACTGTAAGTCACCCCTGATATTAGTAAGTGCTTATCGGCAGATAGGCTCATTGTCGTCATCCAGTGTTCATGTATTAGCAAGTAATTACCGTAAGTAGATTCAACATCTAATCAGTTGCTAAGTTTCCATGGTCTTATCAGTCATTTTGATCAACATTTAGGAAAGACCAGACATCCAATAAGTGTTTATTTTCTACAGTGAAACAAGGTTTCAGTGCCAAAACACACCATGAAATCTAATGAGGAGAGGGGAGGTGGTCCTCATGACAGGCTGGTACGTTGGGGGTCTTTCGTCACTCAATTAGGCTACATTGTCTTACACCAGTTCAAAACCAACCAACAAAAATGACTCCGCATGCAATGGTGCATTGTACTGCTGCATCAGCATTTTGACCCGACTATGTTTTGGAGCCGGCACTTTTTCAAAGCAGTGTAAAGACCCACATGAAGAGGCTGAGAAACGTGACAATACTGCAGGACATGTTGCGGCTCCCCATTATGCCAGGGAGGGCGGGCGGGGGCTGATCAAGTAGTTTGTTCATTGATACGCCGTCTGGGAGTCGGCACACGTTTACCGGTGTTCCATCAATAACCTGCCGACTGGGAAAGAATAGCACAGCAGTAAAGCATGATGAAGCACTGCGGCAAGAACAGCCGTCTGCCTCCAGGCACTCCTAGCCAGGCACGTACACATAGCCAAGGCTGCATCAGCCATCCATTAGCCACCCACCCACACACAATCACTTTACTTTTAAATGAATTCAACTGGTGGACACTCCTTCCTGGAGGAGATTTTTAGATGGTACTACTGTGGTGTTCCATCTCATGTCTAGTTCAGATCATTCTCATAACTGACCACTTAACTGAATTGGTCAATAAAGAAAGTTGAAGTAGGATTTGACACCTGTGGGCACCCTAAGTCTAAGAAATGGGATGTAAAACTCCACAACATGGATTTCCCTCAGCTCTTAATTTAAAAGGGAGAGCATCATCGTAACAGGCCTCAAGGTAAATATGTGATGGTGTGACCCACTGAAAACAGACAGCAACGGCTTTCTCCAAAACGTGATAATCATGACAACTTGGCATGCGTCACCAAAAGTGTGATGTTGCCCCCTCCACTTCCCTCGGCTCTTGAGTGGGAGCTTTCGCTAACTGGCTCCTCTGTTACAAGAATCATTGGTGTCACATTTAGCCTTTTGTTGTTGAGTGTGTGGTTTCCCACTAGTCTATAACACATTCCTCCTCCAGGTCTTCTCTCTGTTTGTGACCCTCTCCTACAGGGACATGAAACATGCAATCCATACTGTATGCGTGTGTCATTTGCTAAGCAGTTATTCAGTGAAATGGGTGACGTTCAGGAAAGTTTCAAATGATTCATGTCCTCAGACAAAGCAGAAAAACAGCGGGTTTTGTCACTCTCACCTGATTCACAGACGACAGAGGCAGGCTTGAGCTCCAGCATCATAGTAATGTTGGCAATGTCTGTTGTGTAGAGTATCTGGGTGCGGTGGGGCAGGTTGAGGGTCCACAGCTCAGGGGTGGGGTGCAGCACATAGACCCAGCCGCCTTTGCCGCAGGTGACCTTTGTGCCAAAGCGCTGGCCTATCAGGTCCTTGGAGTGGCGGATGACTCCATAGCGTGTTTGTGTTTGGGAACCCTGCTGCACCTTGACTGGCATCATTGAGTCATGACCCAGGAAGATAATGGCAACATCACCCTCCTGGATAAACTCTGAATACTCTACAAAAGTCATGGCTGGTCTTCTCTGACTTCTATCACTGGGGTCTACAAGGGGGAACCAAAGTAAAGAGTTCCAGATGTTATCACTGCAAAGACAATAAGTCAAAAAGAGTGGAAACTAGTGAACATTTCCCCCATGACAAACAGAACATTCTTTTCACAAATGCATAAAAATACAAGTTTGCTAAAAGTATTGGGCGACATAGCTGCGATAAGCTAAAATCAGGTCTGCCTCTTCTTTATAAGTTGAAAATGTAGTTAGGTGGTCTGAACATCAAAATACCTCCAACATGGCTTTGTTTATTTCCATACTCATTCGAATACTTGCACGTGCGAGTCGTATATTTTGTTTTTAAAACAAGTATATAATTGAATTATAAACTGCCGCTGTTTATTTTCGAAGAATAACAGTGGAGAAACTTTACTTCAGTTATCAGACTGCCCCCACCTAAAACAGCCACAACCATGGCGGACCATATGGAGAAAATGTAAGTGAAAAACTGTGGACGTTAATTTTAAAATACATAACTAGCTAAAATAGTAGTTAGGAAATTAACAATCTAGTTAGGTTGCTAAATTACTAGCTAACGTTATCTAGCCAGCTAACCAACTGACGTTAACGCGTTAGCTAGCTTGGTTCGACAACAAAAAATAGAATCTTGCTTTTCCAAGTCCACTATTCGGCAACTTCACTGTGCAAAACGTATCTCAATGTTATTTTTATTTTATTTGTAGTTAGCTAACGTTAGCTAGGTAACGTTAGGCAACGAACAGTCACGGCGACGAACGCGTTAGCAAATTTTGACCCGCCACAAATGTAGCTGCTTGGAACTAACTACAGCACTGTATAAAACCGAAGTAAAGCTGATATTCGAAGTGATTTCTATGTTGAGAGGTTAATGATTGGGACGTGTTAGCTAACTTACTTGCTGTTCACATGCTCCTGCAGATCTTACATGTGGATTTGTTAGAGAGCACCGAGACTGACCAGACGAGGCTTCTGTTCACAAACATTTACAGTATTCGCTTTCGCAGTAATCATGAATCGTGCAATGAATGAGGCAGTTCAGATTGTATGTAAATCTGTGAAAAGGCGCAAATGCGGTGCTTTTTAGATGCTCTTCAACAGCTGAGCTGTGCAGGCTCAAGTTGATGACGTAGGGGATTTCGTAAAAAGGCAGAACAAGCAATTAACTGGAAATCATAATTGACCGAAATGAGTGGCTACACTGACACTGACAAGCTGAGATCAATCTGGTCTTGAATTCAAACAAACAATAGCCCAGGCCAATGAAGCAACACACAGATAGTACAATTTAGGAGGCAATATATATATATATATATATATATATATATATACACAGTGCATTTGGAAAGTATTCAGACCCCTTGACATTTTCCACATTTTGTTACGTTACAGCCTTATTCTAAAATGGATTAAATAAAAAATGTGCCCTCATCAATCTACACACAATAACCCATAATGACAAAGCGAAAACAGGTTTTTAGAAATGTTTAGAAATGTATTAAAAATAAAAAACAGAAATACATTATTTACATAGGTATTCAGACCCTTTGCTATGAGACTCAAAATTGAGCTCAGGTGCATCCTGTTTCCATTGATCATCCTTGAGATGTTTCTACAACTTGATTGGAGTCCACCTGTGGTAAATTCAATTGATTGGACATGATTTGGAAAGGCACAAACCTGTTTAAGGTATAATATATTCCCACAGTTGACAGTGCGTGTCAGAGCAAGAACCAAGCCATCAGGTCGAAGGAATTGTCCGTAGAGCTCAGAGACAGGATGTGTCGATGCACAGATCTGGGGAAGGGTACCAAAAAATGTCTGCAGCATTGAAGGTCCCCTCCATCATTCTTCGATGAAAGAAGTTTGGAACCACCAAGACTCTTCCTAAAGCTGGCTGCCCTGCCAAACTTAGCAATCGGGGGAGAAGGGCCTTGGTCAGGGAGGTGACCAATAACCTGATGGTCACTCTGACAGAGCTCCAGAGTTCCTCTGTGGAGATGGGAAAACCTTCCAGAAAGACAGCCATCTCTGCAGCACTCCACCAATCAGGCCTTTTTGGTAGTGGCCAAATGGAAGCCACTCCTCAGTAAAAGGCACATGACAGCCCACTTGGAGTTTGCCAAAAGGCACCTAAAGGACTCTCAGACCATGAGAAACAATATTCTCTGGTCTGATGAAACTAAGATTGAACTATTTGGCCTGAATGCCAAGCGTCACATCTGGAGGAAACCTGGCACCATCCCTACGGTGAAGCATGGTGGTGGCAGCATCATGCTATGTGGACGTTTTTCAGCGGCAGGGACTGGGAGACTAGTCAGGATCGAGGGAAAGATGAACTGAGCAAAGTACAGAGAGATCGTTGATGAAAACCTGTTCCAGAGCGCTCAGGACCGCCGACTGGGGCGAAGGTTCACCTTCCAACAGGACAACGACCCTAAGTACACAGCCAAGCCAACGCAGGAGTGGCTTCGGGACAAGTCTCTGAATGTCCTTGAGTGGCCCTGCCAGAGACCGAACTTGAACCCGATCCAACATCTCTGGATAAACCTGAAAATAGCTGTGCAGTGACGCTCCCCATCCAACCTGACAGAGCTTAAGAGGATCTGCAGAGAAGAATGGGAGAAACTCCCCAAATACAGGTGTGCCCAGCTTGTAGCGTCATACCCAAAAAGACTCAAGGCTGTAATCGCTGCCAAAGGTGCTTCAACAAAGTACTGAGTAAAGGGTCTGAATACTAAATATGATATTTCAGTTTATTTTTTTCTCCAAAAATGTCTAAAAACCAGTTTTTCCGTTGTCATTATGGGGTATTGTGTGTAGATTGATGAGGGAAAACAACTATTTAATCAATTTTAGAATAAGGCTGTAACGTAACAAAATGTAGAAAAAGTAAAGGGGTCTGAATACTTTCCGAATGCACTGTGTGTGTGTGTGTGTGTGTGTGTGTGTGTGTGTGTGTGTGTATATATATATATATATATATATATATATATATATATATATAATCACCAGTCAAAAGTTTGGAAACACACACTTTTTTATTTATTTTTACATTGTAGAATAATAGTGAAGACATCAAAACTATGAAATAACACATATGGAATCATGTAGTAACCAAAAAAGTGTTAAACAAATCAAAATATATTTTATATCTTCAAATAGCCACCCTTTGCCTTGATGACAGCTTTGCACATTCTTGGCATTCTCTCAACCAGCTTCATGAGGTAGTCACCTGGAATGCATTTCAATTAACAGGTGTGCCTTCTTAAAAGTTAATTTGTGGAATTTCCTTCTTTCTTAATGCGTTTGAGCCAATCAGTTTGGGCTTAGTGGGACTATCATTTGTTTTTCAACAGGACAATGACCCAACACACCGCCAGGCAGAGTGAAGGAAATGCAGCCAACAAGTGCTAAGCATATGTGGGAACTCCTTCAAGACTGTTGGAAAAGTTCCCACATATGCTTAGCACTTGTTGGCTGCTTTTCCTTCAGTCTGCGGTCCAACTCATTCCAAACCATCTCAATTGGGTTGAGGTCGGGTGATTGTGGAGGCCAGGTCGTCTGATGCAGCACTCCATCACTCTCCTTGGTCAAATAGCTTACGCAGCCTGGAGGTGTGTTTTTGGTCATTGTCCTGTTGAAAAACAAATGATAGTCCCACTAAGCACAAACCAGATGGGATGGCGTATCGCTGCAGAATGCTGTGGTAGCCATGCTGGTTAAGTGTGCCTTGAATTCTAAATAAATCCCTGACAGTGTCACCAGCAAAGCACCCCCACACCATCACACCTCCTCCACCATGCTTCACGGTGGGAACCTCACATGCAGAGATCATCCGTTCACCTACTCTGCGTCTCACAAAGACACGGAGGTTGGAACCAAAAATCTCATTTGGACTCATCAGACCAAAGGACAGATTTCCACCGGTCTAATGTCCATTGCTCGTGTTTCTTGGACCAAGCAAGTCTCTTCTTCTTATTGGTGTCCTTTAGTAGTGGTTTCTTTGCAGCAATTCGACCATGAAGGCCTGATTCACGCAGTCTCCTCTGAACAGTTGATGTTGAGATGTGTCTGTTACTTGAACTCTGTAAAGCATTTATTTGGGCTGCAATCTGAGGTGCAGTTAACTCTAATTAACTTATCCTCTGCAGCAGAGGTAACTCTGGGTCTTCCTTTCCTGTGGTGGTCCTCATGAGAGCCAGTTTTATCATAGTGCTTGATGTTTTTTGCGACTGCACTTGAAGAAACTTTCAAAATTCTTAAAACTTTCTGGATTGACTGAACTTGTCTTAAAGTAATGATGGACTGTAATTTATCTTTGCTTATTTGAGCTGTTCTTGCCATAATATGGACTTGGTCTTTTACCAAATATGGCTATCTTCTGTATACCACCCCTACCTTGTCACAACACAACTGATTGGCTCAAACGCATTAAGAAGGAAAGAAATTCCACAAATTAACTTTTAAGAAGGCACACCTGTTAATTGAAATGCTTTCCATGTGACTACCTCATGAAGCTGGTTGAGAGAATGCCAAGATTGTGCAAAGCTGTCATCAAGGCAAAGGGTGGCTACTTTGAAGAATCTCAAATATAACATACAGTTGAAGTCGGAAGCTTACATACACTTAGGTTGGAGTCCTTAAAACTTGTTTTTCAACCACTCCACACATTTCTTGTTAACAAACTATAGTTTTGGCAAGTTGGTTAGGACATCTACTTTGTGCATGACACAAGTAATTTTTCCAACAATTGTTTACAGACAGATTATTTCACTTATAATTCACTGTATCACAATTTCAGTGGGTCAGAAGTTTACATACAGTAAGTTGACTGTGCCTTTAAACAGCTTGGAAAATTCCAGAAAATGATGTCATTGCTTTAGAAGCTTCTGATAGGAAGCTGGAGGAAACAGGTACAAAAGTATCTATATCCACAGTAAAACAAGTCCTATATCGACATAACCTGAAAGGCCGCTCAGCAAGGAAGAAGCCACTGCTCCAATACCGCCATAAAAAAGCCAGACTACGGTTTGCAACTGCACATGGGGACAAAGATCATACTTTTTGGAGAAATGTCCTCTGGTCAGATGACCCAAAAATAGAACTGTTTGGCCATAATGACCATCGTTATGTTTGGAGGAAAAAGTGGGTGCCTTGCAAGCCGAAGAACACCATCCAAACCGTGAAGGTCGGGGGTGGCAGCATTATGCTGTGGGGGTGCTTTGCTGCAGGAGGGACTGGTGCACTTCACAAAATAGATGGCATCATGAGGAAGGAAAATTATGTGGATATATTGAAGCAACATCTCAAGACATCAGTCAGGAAGTTAATGCTTGGTCGCAAATAGGTCTTCCAAATGGACAATGACCTCAAGCATACTTCCAAAGTTGTGGCAAAATGGCTTAGGGACAACAAAGTCAAGGTATTGGAGTGGCCATCACAAAGCCCTGACCTCAATCCTATAGAACATTTGTGGGCAGAACTGAAAAAGCGTGTGCGAGCAAGGTGGCCTACAAACCTGACTCAGTTACAACTTATTGTGGGAAGCTTATGGAAGGCTACCCAAAACGTTTCACCCAAGTTAAACAATTTAAAGGCAATGCTACCAAATACTAATTGAGTGTATGTAAACTTCTGACCCACTGGGAATGTGATGAAAGAAATAAGAGCTGAAATAAATCATTCTCGCTACTATTATTCGGACATTTCACATTCTTAAAATAAAGTGTGAATTAAATTTTTACTAGGATTAAATGTCAGGAATTGTGAAAAACTGAGATTAAATGTATTTGGCTAAATTGTATGTAAACTTCCGACTTCAACTGTATATTTTGATTTATTTAACACTTTTCTGGTTACTACATGATTCCATATGTGTTATTTCATAGTTTTGATGTCTTCACTATTATTCTACAATGTAGAAAATAGTAATAATAAAGAAAAACCCTGGAATGAGTAGATGTGTCCAAACTTTTGACTGGTACTGTATATATTTCCTATATTATTATTTTTGCTGTCTCTTGGGCCCTTCAGCCCCGGTAAGCCCCTGCATTACGCCGGCCCTGGGCAGTGCCATTGAGGGCTTCCACCATGCTTAAGTAGTCAACTGGGTGGGGATTCCTATGGGTTGTAGCCTCAATGGCACTGACCATGCTGTCACAGACGCTATAATGGCACAGATATAAAGATGAGTCCTCTATTTATCTCTATGGTTAAAAATCACATTTTTCACACTGTTATATCATATGTATAACCATTAAAAGGTCCAATGCAGCCATTTTTATCTCAATATTAAATAATTTCTGGATAACAATTAAGTACTTTACTGTGATTGTTTTCAATTAAAATGGTCAAAAAGACGTGGAAAAAATTGCTTCTTAGCAAAGAGCAATTTCTCAAGCAAGACTTTCGCTAGGACTGTCTGGGAGTGGTCTGAGTGGGAGGGGCTAGCTGTTATTGGCAGAGAGAATTTACCGCCTGGTGACGTCATCTCACCAAAACAGGCTGAAATTTCAGGCAGTCTTTTCAAACGGCTCTTACACTAAAAGTGCATTATCATAATTTTCACAATTTCACAGTATTATTCCAACCTCATAGTGTGGAAATGTATATTTAAAACACAGGAAAATCAAGTTTTTTACTGCACTGGGCCTTTAAACCTCTTAGATGTAAAGTACCCTGTTTTGGGGACCTGCGTGGTTCTGGTACCGGTTCCGACCGACATTTTCGCTTATAAATCATTATGTGGACACCATAGATTGAGCAGTAGCCCTGATTCTCATGGACACAGGAGTATGTCTCTTCTGCCTGTATGAAGCAGGATGTGAAATCTGACACCACTTGAAGCTGGGATGTCCCTCCTACAATTTCATTCACTCTTCCGACTGTCCATCAACTCCTGGCTGAACCCTATGTCACAGCCACCAACAACGCATATGGCTGGAATCCTTACATCATAATGTAACATTCAGAGATCGATTTATAGCCAGTAATCTAAAATAATTCACAGATTTTAAACAAAAAACACTTGCTGTTTGTCAGAGATGGACAAGATTAATATGAGATGAAAGGCAAGTTCCTAACTAGTTCAGAATGCCAAGCTAGAGCTCTGTGAGATGTTCACAGTGATGGGGGCAGACGTTTTGATCAAGAGAGACCTTTAGAAAATATGCTAATTTTCTTTAACACTAAATATACAAACATGTATTTTACAGTTATAAGGAAGGTGAAATCTTATACTTAGTCATTTTATAAATTGATTATACTATATTTAGAAAAATATATAATTCATTTCAAGCCTTATTCATACAGTTTTGTTGAATAGGACATACATAATATTTGTACTGGGTACCCGAGTTTGTGTCCTCAAAAGTGACTACACCTCAGCAATTTATAACTATTTATTACCAGAAAGGTGAGATTTTAACCTTTCTTGGAGTATGCAAATTACTTTTTGGGATTAAGCAGATTACTTTTTTGATTACATTTAGTTACATTTAAGAGGTTTTATGAGAAAAGTGTAAAGGCCAAGGTAAGGGAACATCTAAAAACTGCTATCTGGTATAGTAGGTATTAGATAGAACTTCCTGGCCCCACCCACCTGTGGGTAAAACAACCTGCGGTTACCTAGGTTACTAAATTGGCTCACAGCAAAAACGTTCAAATGCAATTTCCTTGTTGTCTGCTTGTTTTAATCAATTACAAAACTACATTTAAGAAAAGTACAACATGTCTAAATACTGCTTTTCAACATTGCTTGCTCCCTAGAATTCTCACTACTTAGATAAACATAATATTGTAGGGCTTCCCTCATGCCCCTTTTCTTGACAGTGCTAGCAGCCATGTGAGTGAGTGCTAGCTAGTTACCAACATGACTTGAAAGCTACAAGTAGTGAGTGGAGTTACAAACGGACTATACTAAACAAGTTAAATGTCTTACCTGTGATGAAACGTTTCCCACATGCATAGCTAGCTAAGTGTAGCCCACTTGTACACCTGGTCCCCACATTTCCCACTCTTCCACACCAAATAGCCTGAAATCACATCCCAATGTGGGAACAATGTGAATGGTAGGTCGGGATTTTTTTCCTGGTTACATGTACATTGAACAACACAGCAGCTTTTCGGCATGTTTTGTTATTTCTGTATAACAATAAAACGACTATGAAGCTGGCTCTTTTACAATGGGGGTCAATTGGAAAGAATGTTGGTTTTCCTCAATTTGTGGGCGTGGTCGAGAGGAATTCCTTATTATTAGGTGAATATCGACTTGGAGTATAGCCTAGTAGAAGACCAATAGAATGAATCGACTACAAATACTGACCAATGGGAGCCGAGTTCGCCTACTATAAAGCACCATCTCCAAGATCATTTTCTACTGGAGAACCAAATAACGTTGGTGATTGTGAGGCACGGGCAGAAAAATAGGGATCTTTGTGTCTTCCCCCAGTAGTAGTAGTGACCAGCCTCGGCAGCAGGTAGGACCACTATTTCTACTCGCTCGTCGATGACATTCGATGATCAGAATGGCCTCAGTCGTTTTAACCCCAAATCAGCACATTAGTGACTCATGAGCAAATACTTGGTTTTTAGCAGAGGCTATATTTAAAAGGATATCATCCATATTTCGGGGAAATGTCGATAACAATAGACAACGCAAACAATTGTAATATTATCTGTAGCCCTGATTGAGCAGGAGACCTCGTTATGTTGATAATCTTGCTCTAGTCTAGTGTGCCGCACCTGTTACTATCTCGCATAGCCTACCCTACCTTATTGTTCTGAGTGATTTGGATTTCGAACAGATCACACGCAAAATACCTCTCCAGACTAGAGCTCTATAAAATAGTTATTTGGATTGGAATGACGCTGCTGCGCAATCTTTGGCATTTGACTTGCATTCCATCACTCCGCCTCTAGAGTAAAGGGATCAGTTTAATTTTATAAACTTTCTGTCGACATTTTCCTCTAGCCTATATAATCGGCTGATCGTCGTTCAGTGCGATCGCTTACTGCGCATATTGAGCCATGCAGTCGCATAGGAAAAACCAAGTATTTGACAGTTATGTTGTACACATTTTTCCAAGCTCACATTCACCAGTTTTTCCTCCACTCCGTGTTGCGTCCAGGGATCAGCCATGCCTTTCGGAAACACCCACAACTTGCTAAAGATGAAGTACGCTTCTAGTGAGGAGTACCCAGATCTCAGCCAGCACAATAATCATATGGCCAAGGTCTTGACTCCTGCCATCTACGAGCGTCTAAGGAGCAAACAAACGCCCAGTGGATTTACATTGGATGATGTCATTCAAACCGGGATTGATAACCCAGGTAAAGACCCATGCAGCTTTCAACCATCAAGCCATGTGTTCTGCCTCTTAAAAGTGCGTTTAATGAGGACATCCAGTGTTACAGCTATGGAAGCGCTCATGCCCTTTTGTTCTGCACAGTGACCTTGTCGATGGGTTCTATAACCCTATAAGTTTGTAATTAAGAGGAAGAAAGATGCGTGTATTCCATTGGTCTGCATCCGTACCAAACGCTCAAAGCACAATGGTTCGACGATTTGTTTCAGATAACCTTTTAAATTCTGCTGGGAATAAAGCTTGTTGGTCAAGCATACCATAAGAACTTATCAATACGGAAACTATCATAGATTGTCACTGCAATAAGTGACAATCTGGTGACTCCATATGAACTAAAATAGTATAGCCCAACCCTTTTTGAGGGGAACTGAGATGCTGAGTAGATAGTCCAAACACATTTTTAAGCATAGCAGGTGGCTTCCCCTTACCTTGTAGAATGTGTTTTGTTATTGTTCAGCAATGATAAAATGGCAAAACTGACCATCAAGAGGCTGTCAGCTGAGGAGGAGTTCCCTGACCTAAACCAGCACAACAACCACATGGCCAAGGTCTTAACCCAGGACATGTACACCAAACTCAGAGACCGTGCCACCCCCAACGGCTTCACCATAGATGGTGTCATTCAGACGGGGATTGATAATCCTGGTAAAATGAACACATCCTGAGTCTGTCGACCCCACCTTTTGGAGTTTGAAATGCTAAGCACTATTTATTGAGGTTGTCAATGTGTTTCTGTCATGCTCTACAATTTGTCTCCTAATTGACTCCGCTGTTTTGTTTTTCCCCATTCCAGGCCATCCCTTCATCATGACTGTGGGATGTGTGGCTGGAGATGAGGAGACATACGAGGTCTTCAAGGAGCTGCTGGACCCCATCATCGAGGACAGACATGGAGGATACAAGCCTACAGACAAGCACAAGACTGACCTCAACCCAGACAACTTGAAGGTACTGCCATCTAAATGGGTACCTGGTTGACTGTGGTCTGAGACACATTTTCAACTGTGTACCCTGCAGGAAAGTAGACCAGTGTTGGCAAGTTACAGGTAACGCTAGGTTAACTTGGGTGTCTTTTAATTTTTTTTACAGGGTGGAGATGACCTGGACCCCAACTACGTCATTAGCTCTCGTGTCCGAACAGGCAGGAGCATCCGCGGGTTCTGCCTGCCCCCACACTGCAGCCGTGGAGAGCGACGGGGTGTTGAGAAAATGTCAGTCGAAGGTACTTACCTCAACCCACCCCAAAAATGTATCAAGATGAACTGAACTTATTTTTCTAAATGCTTTTTTTTACCCCATAAATTGCAAAGATGGGAGTGTAGAAACAATGTTTTGAGGGGCTGGGATGGTGCGTTTCATACATGGTAGAATTTTAGACAGATTAACTAGAAGGGTGTTTGAACAGTGGGGTGCAGCAGAGCTTGGCCATCCAGTACTGCAGGAGGGTCTGGGGCTCTGAGTGGATGCCAGCCTAGAATGATGCTTGTTTCCTGTTGCAACATTTCTGTGTAGAGGGTCCCCTCTAGTGGTGAACTATGTTAATTTATTGGTCTGTTACTGACAGGAAAGGATTGCTACAGATCAGGGGTATTCATAGACCAGGGGTATTTATTTCAAAAACATATTTGTACACTTTTTATGTGTTTTTTTTTCGCTGATCCCATTGAGGTAGTGCGTATGTATATGGGGGAAATATGTTTTATTTCAATGTTTTTATTAATATCGCTAGCAACAGACTAGACACACTTTCTTCTTTCTAATGATGTCAACTTTATTTCTCAACTCCTAATATTGAGCAAATTACACTCACTGGAGTGTCTGACATAGGCTTTGAAAAAAAGCACAAGTGAGTACATGGCTAACCTTTGTTTAAACAGCTGCTATTAGCGAACATGTTTGGAGTAGAGCTGGCACAATTCTCATATAATATTTATTTTAGGAGAATGGGGGGGTGTTCAACTTTATATTCAAGTGTGGATATATTGTTTACCTAATTCATTTCCAAAAGTTCTAATTTGTCAAACATTTGTTTTTGAGAAAGGAGTGTCACCAAAGCGGTGTTGTATTCATTAGTAAGGTCTTTATGACGCATACAAGCTCAAAACACTTTACAACAAAAATTTGAATTATTACAATGTCTGGTCATTTGCACGACAATTAATCGTTACCCAAAATTCCATAATCTTCACAGCCCTAGTTGGAGTTACCTTTTCTAGCTAATGTTGGTTGACACTACTTCCAATTATAATGTGGGGATGTCAAAATAATGAAACTATCTACCAAATCTATTCATTGTAAAATGTTGATTACTTGTCCTTTCCATTATCATTCACCAGATGACAAGACGGGGGGGGGGGGAACACATTTTGCTAACATGATCTGGACCCCTGCTTTAGACTGGAGATCACTGTCTGGACATATTTAGATACATTGAATTGATCCTTTCTTCCTTGTGTTAATTTCTGGTTGTAACATGATAACCAGATTGAAAGCCACGTAATGAAGACTGCACATTCACTCATCCAGTAACCTCGGACAGGGCCAATGTATCCGACACATCTGATTTTGTTCCTCTGCAGCTCTGGACTCCCTGTCCGGTGACCTGAAGGGGAAGTACTATGCCCTGAAGAACATGACAGATGCTGAGCAGCAGCAGCTGATTGATGACCACTTCCTGTTTGACAAGCCTGTGTCTCCTCTGCTGCTGGCCTCTGGCATGGCCCGGGACTGGCCCGATGGCAGGGGTATCTGGTGAGAGGACAGGGATTTTTCATTCTCACACTACTTGGTTTCCTCAAAGGTATTACAAGTTTGGTTTAGTTTTAACGCACCAAAGTCATTCTTACTTTCTACCCTCTCAACCTTACTTTATTCAAGTAAATGACTGCGGGAAGGGATAGGAAATTCTCAGTTACCCTCTAACTAGGTGTATCTTAATCTCTGCTAAGTCAGAGGGAAAATGTTCATAACAGTTTATACGCTGGTGGTGGCTTATGCCACCATCCATGACCTTGACAGATTAGAATAAATAAAATGTTCTATGGTCAAGGCACAACGATACCAAGACCTTCCTGGTCTGGGTCAATGAGGAGGACCACCTGCGTGTCATCTCCATGCAGAAGGGTGGCAACATGAAGGAGGTGTTCAACCGTTTCTGCGCTGGCCTCACAAAGGTGAGGGAATATCTGAGGAATATCACAAGATTTTGAGAATGAAATGTGGATAATTTGCTGTTGCCATATTAAAAAATGCTCTGTGTAAAAACATGCTGGAAATGATCAATCAATGGTGTTTTGTATTCCTTTCCTTGTTAAAATTGGACCTAATCTATTTTTTCCTCAGATTGAAACCCTGTTCAAAGATAAGGGCACTTCATTCATGTGGAATGAGCACCTGGGCTACGTTCTCACCTGCCCATCCAACCTGGGCACAGGGCTACGTGCTGGAGTCCACGTCAAGATCCCCAACATGAGCAAGCATGCCAAATTTGAGGAAGTGCTCAAGAGGCTAAGACTCCAGAAACGTGGAACCGGTAAAAAAAAATTGTCACAGAACCAGATACCTACGTTTGTTTTCTGTTGCTCAGGGTAACTTACAAGCACATTAAGGCTGTAGCATGACCAACACTGGCAATAGTTCTAGCATTAAAGCTGGAATTTCTCTGAAAGGACTATTGTAGCTGTGAAGTCCATCTTCTGATGTTGTGCCTCCATTCCAGGTGGCGTGGACACCGCAGCTGTGGGTGGCACCTTCGACATCTCCAACGCAGACCGCCTGGGCTTCTCTGAGGTGGCGCTGGTGCAAATGGTTGTGGATGGTGTTAAGCTGCTGGTTGAGATGGAGAAGAAGCTGGAGAAGGGCCAGTCTATCGACGACCTCATGCCTGCCCAGAAGTGAAAACTCTTGATTGCCTCCCCATTGTCATCTGAATGAATGTGTGACATTATCCTGGAATGCACTCTGTAATAAAGAGCACTTACTCTCTCATACAAGGTCCTCTTTCAATGTGAGTGGATCTGAAAATAAAAACTGTTTCAATCCATGTGTTTCTATTTCTATCCCATTTGAGGTGAAGTTGCACATTCTCATTTAGAATGACAATATACCATGAGTCAAGTTGACATTTATTTATTGACACTGGTGATCTTACCTAATGAGCATTTACATAAATTCCATCTAATTTCAAACAATATATAAAAGAGTATAACAACGTAACTGTCTTGAAAGTAAGATACATTATTTACACTGAAAACAAGGCTAAATTTAATGAAATAAATAATTCAAAACAAATGCTCTTTGTCCATCTTCACAGCATGACAAACTATATTCAATTTGTTATGGCCAAACATGACCAGATTATATACTGTAGCTATTAGTAATTCAGTGATTATTGCCAAAAGTGTTCCTCTATCATTCAATTCATACTGTATTTTGTTAAAAAATTATTGGAAACTGCTACTTTAATGATTGTACAGCTTAAATACTTTCTAGATATAGTTTTGCCCTTTTGTTCATAGCTTTAACTCGTTGGCGACTTTGGAAGCAATGTTTTTAAAAGTGATGGATGAGCCTGATATCCTCTTGAATCTCACGCCATTGAGGGAGAGGCGGGGCAGCTTGCACACCTCCATCTCCCATTGGACAAGGTTCTCAGCATGTCCATCGCCATGGACACAGAGCAGCAGGAAACACTCTTGCTGTTCATAGTCGCAGTTGTTGGCGTTGAGCACCTTGCGTATCTCCTCCATGATGTCGCAAGGTTCCATGGAGCTGGTGGTCCTCATACTCCAAGTGAATCTGAGGGAGCGGGGTTTACTGTCTTTATTTTCCCCTTTCTGATCCCCAGGTACATGGCGACTGATAAGAGGGCGATAAAGAGAAAAAAGTTGAATTCACTAAAGCTGTGCATTTTCCCCTAGGTTTAGTCATGTTCATAGCTGTGTATGACAGTATTTACTTCAATCTGTTTTAAAGGGTATCATGAATAGACAATAATGCAAGGTGTTGATCAAAGCGTCAATTAGCAAAGCAGGCAGTAAACGGATGGTCATGCAGCACACTAGGAGGGGCACAACACTCTGAGGAAACCACAATTAACTGAAATAACCACACCCTACGTCACATACAGAGACCACATCTATGGGGAAAAGGTGAGGGAGGTGTAGACCCTATGGATAGACAGATGGGACTACTGGTTGACTGACAGAATGAATGGAGAACAGAGCTGGGAGTGAAGTGACATCAAGCCTGTCATCACAGGAATATCAGGTTGAGAAAGCAACAACATACACCTCACCTTGAGCCCTCAAATCTCCCGTTTCTCTCAAACTCGGTTGAGACTCTAACAGTTGAGGGAGCAGAGCAAGTTTAGGAGAAAAGAGAAAAAACACAAATGTGGACTTCTAAAGAGAGTATTTTGTCATTTCAAGGAAGACAGAGAACACTGTACTGTGAATATACATTGAGAGATATATAACATACAGTGAGCTCCAAAAGTACTGGGACAGTGACACATTTTAGTTTTTTTGGCTCTGTACTCCAGCACTTTGGATTTGAAATGATACAATGACTACTTTAATTTGAAGGTATTTTCATCCATATCAGTGAAACGGTTTAGAAATTCAGTTAAGGGGAGAGTAGAAGATAGCGAGATGAGAGAGAGAGAGAGAGAGAGAGAGAGAGAGAGAGAGAGAAGAGAGAGAAGAGAGAGAGAGAGAGAGAGGCGAGAGCGCTAAGAGAGAGAGAGAGATCTCTCCTAGCGACCTAGATCTCCCTCTCTCTCTCTACTATCTCGTCTATCTCTCTCTCTCTCTATCTCTCTCTCTCTCTCTCTCTTCTCTCTATATCTCTCTCTCTCTCTCTCTCTCCTCCCCCATTTTAGAGTCACTTTTATTGTAAATAAGAATAGAATATGTTTCTAAACACTTCTACATTAATGTGGATGCAACCATGATTACGGTTAATTCAGCATGAATCGTGAATAATGTGTGAGAAAGTTAAAGACGCACAAATATCATACTCCCAAGACATGCTAACCTCTCACCATTACAATAACAGGGGAGGTTAGCATTTTTTTTTGGGGGGGGGTGTATGATATTTGTGCGTCTAACTTTCTCACTCATCATTATTCATGATTCATTTAGGATTATCGGTAATCATGGTAGCATCCACATTAATGTAGAAGTGTTTAGAAACAAGAAAGCCACCGCCAAATAACTATAACCTCATTATGGAAGTGTTGACGTGAAACCTGTGCAGAATCAATGGAAAAAGAGACTTTGAACTGGTCACACTGATCAGTCTCGCTGGTGTTCACACTTACTTGCTTCTTTAGCACAAAATAAAAACGAGAGCAAACTAACCAAAAGTGCTTCAACAGACCACATAGAGCAAGGGGATACAGGAATGGAAATGTGTTGAGTGACGGTATGACAGCTTGGGTAAGTTTGTTGACATGAAGAGATTCACTCAAACACGACAAAAACAAAACCATACAGTGGAACTACAGTCCACACACCCACACATCTAATACACACATTGTGTATTAGGGTCAGTGCATGCAGACTGGGGCTGTTGTGGGAGATCTCATGCAGTCTTTCTCGAGGTTGACAGATAGCAGGACAGAGGTCCTCTAGATGTCCTCTAACATGTCCTATGTTTCTTCCCTCTATGTGACACTGGATATGTTTAGAGAAGAGGGGGTTGGTTTGAAAGACAATTAGGCAAGCAGTCACAGGGCCATTGTAGACAGGGACTGCATACCAGGTCCACAGACCCTAATGAGTTTTGGGCTGCAGACATGCAAACTAGCTTTGAAATGAGTCTACAAGAGGGTAAAGGAAGTTAGATTCCTGGAGGGTCTTAGTTAGCGGTCAAGATAGCAGCCTCTAGCCAAGGGGATGAGGGACCAGAAAAGTACTGAGACTGTATCTGGGACAGGGAGAGGGGCTGGGAGTGTGTCACATTCACATACTGGAGAGAAGGGAATGTGACCATGTGACCATGTTGCGGTGTGCATACAAGTTTGTTCTCTCCACACAGAACTCTGACATACAGAGTTGAGCCTAACTCTTGTGGGGACATAAGGGTTGAAATGATCCCTTACTCTAGGTCTCCATCTGCAACTTCTTACTACTCTCTATATCTTCCGCTCCTGAATCTGGAAGAAAATATGGATTCTGAAAAAAAGCGTGTATTTTTTTACGGATACATGAAAAGAGAGTAAGAAAAAATGACATGATCACAGGCCAATAATGCCAGGATGACAAGGAGGAAGAAGAGAAGAGGAGAGATGAGTGGACAGAAGACTTACTAAGAGTCTTTGCTCCCTGGGCAGAAGGGATGGCAGGCCCTGATTTGGCCGTCTGCCGTTTGGCCGGGTCAATACTGACCCTGAGGGGAGGAAGAGCAGTGAAAGGTCCAAGGTTAAAGGGCACAGAAAGGTCAGGGAGACATTGGCACACAGCAATACAAGAGTGAGGAGAAGAGTGAAGGGAGGGCACAGAGAGACCAAAGCGCATTGCCTACTACTGAGACAAGAGACTTCCTGCTAAGACTTCCTTCCTTATACTTGAACCAATCGTTTCTAAGATGCTGTTACTCTGTGCAGAAATAAGAATCACTCAACAGAGAAATGAAATGAGTGTCAAGAACATGGTGAAGGAAGAAAGATGGGAGGGTTGCAAATGTGACGGAACTTCCAGAGATGTAGAACTCCTGGTCGCCACTAAATCTCAGTGTGCCACTAAAGGCCTTTTCACACTGCATTGTTCTTAGCCCCGGGCTATCTTAGCCCCAGGCTAAGACTGGCCCTGGGATACCTTATCCTGTGTTCACACAAGCATTTGTTAACCCAGGGCTATTGGGCTAAGCCCTGGGCTAAAGGGATCTACACAGAATATGCAAATGACTTGGAATTAAATAGGTGCTGGTACTCATTTTGGGTCCCAGTACTGTTTCTATTTAGAAGCTGGAGCTCCACAATACTTTTGAGCTAATATTTTATAAGAGGAACAGGAGCTCAAGCAGTAGAACATTTTAGGTGCCGGTACTCAGCTCCAGTGAGCTCCTGCACAAGTCAAGCACTGGTTGTGTAGGCAATGACGTTTGTTTGGTTCCTTGATCTGATCTATAGCCTATAGGGCCCTCAAACTCAACTCGACCTCGAAGCCAGTTCCACTGCATTTTTTCATTGTTCCCCTCTAATCAAGAACTGATTTAGACCTGGGACACCAGGTGTGTGCAATTAATTATCAGGTAGAACGGAAAACCAGCAGGCTCCGGACCTCGTAGGGTAACAGTTGAGTACCCTTGCTATAGGCTATGCATCAAAGTAGCCTATTTTGCATTGATAAGAAAATAATAATCTCAGTGACTGTTCAAACAATAAACATTGTAGCCTTATTAGAATCCCCCCCAAAATGTATTTTGTTTAGATGTAATAACTAGTGACTCCAGGCTACTGGTAAAAACAGCTGCGAAATACAGTGCCTTCGGAAAGTATTCCGACCCCTTGACCTTTTTCACATTTTGTTAGGTTATAGCCTTATTCTAAAATTGATTAAATTGTTTTTTTCCCCTCAATCTACACACAATACCCCATAATGACAAAGCAAAAACAGGTTTTTAGAAATCTCACATTTACATACGTTTTCAGACACTTTACTCAGTACTTTGTTGAAGCACCTTTGGCAGCGATTACAGCCTTGAGTCTTCTTGGGTATGATGCTACAAGCTTGGCACACCTGTATTTGGGGAGTTTCTCCCATTCTTCTCTGCAGATCCTCTCAAGCTCTGTCAGGTTGGATGTGCGTCGCTGCACACCTATTTTCAGGTCTCTCCAGAGATGTTAGATCGGGTTCAAGTCCGGGCTCTGGCTGGGCCACTCAAGGACATTCAGAGACTTGTTCCGAAGCCACTCCTGCTTTGTGTTGGCTGTGTGCTTCGGTTCGTTGTCCTGTTGGATGGTGAACCTTCGCCCAGTCTGAGGTCCTGAGTGCTCTGGAGCAGGTTTTCATCAAGGATCTCTCTGTACTTTGCTCC